TGAGGGCTTGCCAAGCCCTTGTCAGGGCTGCTCATCTACCTTTGCTGTCTACCTTTCTCCCAGCTCTCACCTGTGACTCCAAGAAGCGCAGTGGCCACACCCTGGTTAAACCATCTTAGCACATGGGTTAAACCACATTGAGGGTAATTGATGGGCTTCAAATCTGTTGGTGAATTAGGGGATATCTACCCCAATCACGTGAAGACTTCCCCCAGCTGAATGGGTAGATGAGAATAGTTTGTCCCAGTGACTGTGAAGGTGGCTGAAGAAGGCTCTGTGGAGTGCTTAGAGCTTGGTCAGACGTCGAAGATATAAAGTTCGTTCACTGCGTCCTGCAACATCAGCAGTTGTCTTGACTTTTGTCTTGCCACTGGACTTTGATGACTCTTTTTTCTTAAATTTATTTTTATTTATTTTTAATTAATTTATTTTGAATTATCAACAATCACTTCCATAAGCTTTTGATTTTAAAATTTTTCTCCCCTTCCTTCCCCACCTCCCGCAATCTGATAAAGGCTATATACATTATACATTGCTGTTAAATGTATTTTCGTATTAGTGATGTAAGGAAGAATTAGAACCAATAGGAGGAGCCACCAGAAAGAGGAAACAAAACACAACAGAAGAAAAAAAATAGCAACTAATACGTTTCGATCTACATTCAAGCTCCATAATTCTTTCTTCTTTGTGGCTAGAATTTTCCATCATGAGGCCTTTGGTGATGTCTTAGATCCTTGTATTGCTGAGAAGGGTTAAGTCTGTCAATATTAGTCATCACACAACTTGGCTGTTATTGTGTATAATGTTCTTCTGGTTCTGCTCACTTCACTCAGCATCAGACCATACAAGTCTTTCCAGGTCTTCTGAAGTCAGCCTGTTCATCATTTCTTATAGCAAGTAGTATTCCATTACATTGCTATACCATAACTTGTTCAGCCATTCCCCAATTGATGGGCATCCTCTCAATTCCCAATTCTTTGCCATCACAAAAAGAGCTGCTATAAATATTTTTGTACATGTGGGTCCTTTCCCATTTGTATGATTTCTTTGGTATATAGCCCTAGAAGTGCTATTGCTGGGTAAGCACATTTTTATAGCCCTTTGGGCATAGTTCCAAGTTGTTCTCCAAAATGGCTGGATCATTTCACAACTCCACCAACAATGCATTAGTGTTCCAATTTTCCCATATCTTCTCCAACATTTATCATTTTCCTGTTTTGTTGTGTTGACCAATCTGATAGGTGTGATGTGGTACCTCAGAGTTGTTTTGATTTGTATTTCTCTAATCAATAATGATTTAGAGCATTTTTTCATATGACTGTAGATAGCTTTAATTCTTCATCTGAAAACTGCCTGGTCATGTCCTTTGACCATTTATCAATTGGGGAATGACTTATATTCTTATAAATTTGACTTAATTCTCTATATATTTTAGGAATGAGGCCCTTCTCAGAGAGACTGGTTGTAAAAATTCTTTCCCAATTTTCTATTTTCCTTCTGATCTTGCATTGGCTTTGTTTGTGCAAAAACTTTTCAATTTAATGTAAACTTTGATGACTCTTGAAGAGGGAGTGAGGCTGATACCTGTGCAACCCTGCCTCACTTAAATCCAGTTAACGTACAACTCAAGTCATCACCCATCTTGTCACTGGCCCTCTTCTAAAACAAAGGACAAACAACACATCAAAGAAAAAAAATACTGCTATAAATATTTTGGTGAATGTGGGCTTCCCATAGTATCATACATTCATTCTATTTCATATCAGTTCCTCAGACACACGTTATCTGTTCCTTATTATCTCTCTCCTATTGCCCAGAGGAGCCAAGGATGCTGAAAAATGTATAAAACAAAAAGTTTTGGAATGATTGTCTTCCCGATTCCTGTATTTCACCTGCATCAGTTGCAGTGGATAAAGGGATAGAGGAATTGTGTAAAGAATCCAGTAAGACCCTCCAAATTAAATCAATAAGCACTTTGATTCTCTATAACTAACATAAAAATGAGAATAAGATGGAAAACATGATTCAGAGAGAAGGAATGAGAGAGGCTAAAGTTTGTAGACTATACAGAAAGAAGCCTCATGCCATCTTTATACTTTCTGTGAAAAAATCAGTGGGCCCCTTTAGCTAGAGCCTATTGAGGAAGACCAGTAATATCACAAAACATGAAACTTATCTCATTATTGTTATGGAAGTCTCTGAATCAGTTGCCTGTTTGTACTCTGACCACTTTGCTAAAGCAAAGCATGCAGTTGAAACACCTCATTCTTGAACTATTTAAACAAGTAGTTGAAAATGAAAACTAGGTCATTGACAGCAGAAATGACATCAACACCGATTATAATTTTGTGGGGAAGTTTAACTGGTATGAATCAATTATCATTATAAAGACTTCAAAGGAGCCTAAGCCAGCAAACAGTTGACTTGCTTGCCAAGGTGATAGAGATGGCAGCCTGAGGCAACACCAGTTTTCAATATAAACTTCGTGGTAAAATGTTGCAAGGAAGGATTGATAGGTGATTATAAGCAGTACTGCTACGTAAGTCAGAAACACTGGAGGATGCCAGTTTAAAGAAAGTTTGACAAGTGATTCAACTCGGCCGCCATCCTGAGGAATCTGAAGGGCAAAGTGGAAGAATGAAGACCTAAAGATTTTTATAACTTTTCATCATTAAGGACAGTAGAGCCCTCATATTTGGTCACTAGAAATAGTGCTGAAGTGAATGAGAGGCCATGCAGCAGCATTTTAGCCAGAGTACCAACATAGAGCAGTCCAGTGAGGGAAGAGGAGACATCATGTGATGGGATCAAGTCACAAGGTGTCTGAAGGAGGTGAAGACGCCAACAATATAGCAAAAAGCCTTGCCCCCTTATTAATGCTGAAAGGAGGAGACATCTACAGTGTATAAGTCTTCATCCTTCTATAACAAATCTTATCTACACATGGTATTTGGTGAATGATGATGCTTAAGGAAGTCACACCGCCAGGGTATGACCCCCTCCTCCCCCCCCAGTCTCAGGGCAGGGACCATCTCACTTATCTTTATATCCTCATTACATAGCACTATACTGACTCGTTGGATGATAATTCCAGAGCTGGAAGAGGGCTATTTCAAGGCCCTCTTTAGACCTAGCAAGTCCTTGGTAAATACTTGTGGACTGATTCACTTCTCTGTCATCTTAATACTCCTGCCCTAGTCCTTCCTTTCTGCAGTGTACTAGACCTTTTTTTGTTGGAAGAGGACTAATGTCGTCCTGAGGTGATATCTTGGCTTGCACGTGAATTGGATATTAGAGGGGCAGAGTTATACAAAGGAGTCAGCCTGACTCTGTCTTCCAGAGTCATCAAAGTTCAGTGGCAAGGCAAAAGTCAAGATGCTGGGTGATGGCTCGGGATGCAGTGGCTGACCTTGGTGGCTGACCAAGCTCTAAGTCATGGTCATTGGAACAAATTGTTCTCATCCGCCCATTCAGCTGGATGGGTTAGACACCCCCGTAAGTCACCCGCAGGTTTGAAGCCTGTCGATCACCCTCAGCCTGGTTCAGCCCATCTACCCAGATGGCTCGCCGGGGTGTGGCCGCTGCACGTGTCACAGCTTCTCAGAGCCACAGGCGAGAGTCAGGTGACAAGTAGACACCAGACAGGGAAAGCAGCCTGCGCACCAGAGCGCTGGTCCTCCCTGACCGCCCCGCACACCTGTCGATGTCTTTTGGCTTTATAGCAGCAGTCGTTTCTGGATGTATCCATGACTTTCGCCCCATCCGGCCTCTGTGCCCTCTTGTAACAAAGAAGCAGGCCCGTGTCAGGCCCACACTTGACAGCGTATGGTCCCTCCAGACTTTCTGCCTTAGTGCTTCCTCTCTGCTCTGCTGAGCTGACGTGCTTTCTTGGCAGAGGACAGAGGAGGAAGGAGACACTTGTTTCATCCCTTTCTTTGATCTTCTTCCTCCCATTCCCCTCCAGTGGCTTGCCCAGTAGATTTTTCCTCCACCCCCTCTTCTCTGCACACTCCCTTTACTGGCTTCCTGTTCTGAGGAAACCAGGAGGCATATTATGCTAGAGTGCTAGACTTTGAGGTCAAATTCTGCCTCTGAAACTTCCTACCTGTGCAAGTCACTTAACCTTTCTGTTTGCCTCTGTTTCCTCATCTGCAAAATGGTGAGTAATAATATCTACCAGGCGGGGTAGTTATAAGTATCAAAAGAGAGAACATGTAAAGCACTCTGTAATCCTTAAATTGCTTTTTACATGGTGGCTATTAATTATAATAATAATGATACTAAAGCTAATAGGGGAGGGCTGTTATGATTATTAGCACTTACTAGCTGCCTCACCTTGAGCAAATCACTGAAGTTTTTTTAATCTCCATTTGCTTCATCTGTAAAATGGAACTAATACCAATTCAGCCAAACAGGGTTTTTGTGAAATTCAAATGGGATGTGTAAGAGGGCTTTGCAGAGCTGAAAGCCTTTATGAGGGGAACATTCTTCATTGATTTTTGAAAACATTCTAGCTCCCCTAATATATTTCTGTACAGATCACTGTTATTAAGGGAAAGGTTTAGAAATAGAAGATTAGCATGCAAAAATACTCCAAATGAAATTACTTTGGGGGTAAGGCATTAATTCTGGTATAGTGGATATGATGCTGTACCTGGAATTGGGAATATCTGCATTTAAATCCTGCCACAGAGTGTGGTTGACTTGACAGCAGTCCTTTCCTCTAATGCCTCAGGCACGTTCTGTGTCTCTTAAGTTACAGATCACTTGCTGATGTGCTTGGGTGGAGGGAGTTTCTGTACTAGGTGCCATACAGTGAAGAAGCCCTGGTTCTGAACATTCCCCTCCCTGAAAAAAACAAAAAAACACAAATATATATTAGTGGGGGAAAAGGTGAGATTTGTAAAAGTGTTATGTTTACTTTTTCAGGAACAGATCTCTACATGAAAGCAAAGCGTATGTGTATTAAACTATTAACAGCCTTGCCTTTTGCCTCCTAGGCATCTTGCAGCACCCAGATGGCACAGTCTTGAAGCAGTTGCAGCCGCCGCCTCGAGGCCCGAGGGAGCTGGATTTCTACAGCACAGTAAGAGACCTTGAATGGGAATCCGAGTTTTGTAGTTTGGAGAGAGTCTTTACAACTGCCCTCTGAGTCTGTTTGTAGGATGGTTCAAATCCTTTTGTTACTAGAGAACTCCAGTTATTTGGGCCGCATATCAAGTAGGATTTGAAAAGTAGTCCTTCTCCTGTGTCAGGCTTGTGCATTTAGCAGCTCACAGCCAAGATGAGGGCAGTTTGGTCTGCCCAGGGAGGCAGGAGATGCCTGATGGGTTGTTTGGCCCGAGCCATTAATGACCTTTATGATCAGGAGAAGTCATAGAATCTTGGCTCCTCACTCGCTTCATTTGGGAGGCAACTGAACTTTATCTTATCTTTAAGTGCTTTTTTCCAACAGCGGGATCAGAAGTAGTGTTGAATGGTAGTGATATGAGGAAATCAGTGATTGGAATGACACCTGGAAGCTCATCCTATCAGTTCTCCGGGGCCACTTTTTTTTCAGTGCTGGTGAAAGAGTTCAGAATAGATTTTTGCAGTGACTTATTTTTAGCTTAGGTTCATGTAGTTTTATGCTTGTAAGATGGAAGGCTCTACTCTTAGAGCACTGGGCAAGGAAACAGGTTCTCAGTCAGGCTCTGCCATTGCTTGGGATTTCATGGACTTGTCTAAGGGCTGTGAATAAGTGCCAGCTTGGGAATGAAAAGGAGTAGAGGTAGGGTGGAGGCAGCCGTCAGTCAGTGTTTACTAAGTGCCTATCGGCTGCAGGTGCTGGGCACACAAGTACGGAGAGTGAGACAGTTGTCACTCTTGAGAAGCTTCTATTCCAGCAGGACTGACAACAAGCCCTAGGCAGTGAATAAGGATATTTGATGTCCAGTCTTAGATCTAAGACTATGTTTCTCCTTCCCCCAAACTGGAAGGGAGTAGGGTGGGGATCACTACATGATCTCTGAGATTCCTTTTTTCTAATTCTCTAAGCCAAGTGATTTTGTTGGTGTGGCTGTTCTCTGCTTAGTAGATGGTCTTTGTGAGTTGCTTTGGTTAAATAAGAAAACAAAACCTCAAACTCCCCATACCTGGTGGTCAAGTATTGGTGACATATTTCTTCAAATATAGTTAAATTGATTTCTCAGAATGCATGTGATTCATCGTGTCCTTTGAACTTTTTAAAAAATCTATTTATCTTTTGCTTTTTGGGGAGGCGAGTGGGGTTAAGTGACTTGCCCAGGGTCATACAGCTAGTAAGTGCTAAGTGTTTAAGGCTGGATTTGAACTCAAGTCCTCCTGATTCCAAGGCCAGAGCTCAATTCACTGCCCCACCTAGCTGCCCCGTCCTTTGAACTCTTTCAAGCAGCCAAGGTGGATAGAGCACTGGCCCTGGAGTCCAGAAGACCTGAGTTCAAATGCAGCCTCAGACACTTCCTAGCAAAGTCATTTAACCTGACCCTCGGTAAGTCACTTCGCTTTAGTTTGCCTGGTTTTCCTTAACTGTACAATGAGGACAGCAGAGTACTTACCTTCCAGGATTGTCATGTGGATCAAACGAGGTAACGTTGGGAAAGAGTTGAGCACGACGCTCGGCACAGAGTAGGTATACGTAATTAGCTATCATCATTATCATGGTTATCATCATCACCATCATCATCATCATCATCATCATCATCATCATCATCACCATCATCACCATCACCATCATCACCATCATCACCACCATCATCATCACCACCATCATCATCATCATCACCACCATCATCATCATCATCATCACCATCATCATCATCATCATCATCATCATCATCATCATCATCACCATCATCACCACCACCACCATCATCATTATCATCATCATCATCACCACCATCATCATCATCACCATCATCATCATCACCATCATCATCATCATCATCACCATCATCACCACCACCATCACCATCATCACCACCACCATCATCATCATCATCATCATCATCATCATCATCGTTGTTGTTGTTGTTATTATTATTTCAACCTTGACAGGAATCATTATAGTTTGAATTGTTCCTGCCTGATGTTTGAAAGTGCAGCTTTGTGGCATTGAAATAATTACACATTCTTGTCCGTATTCATATCTCCCTACCTATATTTCCATGTCTCTACACACATTTTCAATAGAAATGATAGAGGTGAAATCTGACTGATGTCTAGGAGCCAGGGAGAGCACTGAAGAATTTCAGTGTGCGGCCATTTCTCAGGAGAAGGTGGTGCAAGTATAATCCATTGTTAGCTACAAACATACCTTATTCCTTCATGACAAGGGCTAGTGTTTAACAGCATTTACGGAGCCTTTGTTCTTTCAGGAAAGTGGAAGAGCGCATGCTTACGTGTCTCAGAAATCCCATTCAGTTATTATTTACTCCCCGGAGTTAAGAACTGTACTAAACTGAGGGCAGCGAGGTGGGGCAGTGGGTAGAGCACCAGCCCTGGAGTCTGGAGGACCTGAGTTCAAATCCAGCCTCAGACACATAGCACTTAGTAGTCGTGGGACTCTGGGCAAGTCACTTAACCCCAGTTGCCTCACCAAAAAAACAAAAACAAAAAGAACTGTAATGAAGGCAGAAAACGTTTTGTTTTTATTATGACTAATATTGAATTAATCTTGCCCCCTGCTAACTTGTTCAGTAATTGACTGTGACGTAAGAGTTTGTCAAGCTCAGGACACGGACATTTGGAGCAGTGTGTATCATTCTTGCATTTTATTATTTAGTGATCCTGTGTACACTTGGCTTGTCCCGCTTGGTTTTCTGTTTTGATGCCTTTAGTATTCTTTAGGGCTTCTGGGTGCTCTATGTCCTGAGTGTTGATGTGGTTCTGTGTCCTAGCATCAATTTGTTTACATGTTTAAGGTAGTGATGCCCATTTGTCCTTAATACGAGAAATGAAGTGGATGCTTCACAAAGGAACTAGGAGTCTGACTACTTCTGCTCTTTTGGGATCTCAGTTGTTATGGGATTGGTGTCCCACACACTGAGGAGACTTACAGACTCTTCTGTTTGGCATTTAAAGCTCTTCACAAGCAAGTTCCACCTCATCTTTTCAGGTGACGTGCCTACACTCAACTATCGGATCCTGCTCTTGGTCACATGTTTCACCCCTTTTCATGTGCCTTTGTGCTGGTCGTCTGTCTCCTGTGCCAGAAATGTACTCTATACTCATCTCTGTCTCTTAGAATCCGGAGTTTTCTTGAAAGCTCAGCTCAGGCACCATCTCCTGCAGGAAACCTTTCTGCTCCCTTCCCTCTTCGTCCCCAGCTGCTAGGGCCTTCTCTGCAGAATGACATTGTATTATTTTGTATTTCCGTATATGTGCACGTGTGGTCGCATCGTAGAGTGAATGTGAGCTCATCAAAGGCAGGGAATGTTTCATTTTATTTTTGGATCCCCAGTGTCCAACAGTGCCTGTCCCATGGCAGACATTTAATAAATCCTTGTTGATTTATTGATGTAGCCGAAGTGAGTGTGAATGATCTTGGGGAGGTTATTTAATGATGATTGTAATGAGCACCACTGCTCTCGCTCATAAAGCTCTTTAAAGCTCGGGGCCTCATAGCATCTTCTGAAGTAGATATTGTGGCCATCATCACCCCCTTTTACAGGTTAGGAAGAAAGGGGGCATAGAATAAGAGAGGGCTGGCCTTCGAGTCAGAAAAACTGAGGTCAAAATCTGTCAGCTCTGGAGCCATGGATAAGTCATTTAAGCTCTGGTTGTTATTCCAAGAGAGAGTTGTTAAGTTGTATCAGTGGAGGGAATCTCTACTTTGGGAGTTCCCAGTTAATGAAGTAATCTAGCTGAGTAATCTTTAGCATTCAAGAAGCAAACAGGTGAGGGAACTGAGACCCAGAGAGGCTGTTTTGCCTCTAATCACACAGCTAGTAAGGGTCAGAGGCACATGTGAAGCCCAGGTCTTTCTGATTTCTGGTCCAGTCCCCATCTATTTTACACCATCCTCCTCAAACCTCCCAACCTCTCTGGAGCCCAGTGTCCTCATTTCAAAATGAAGGGATTTGGACACTGTAGTGTAGAAGGAGGCCCTTTCTGTAGTTCTGTGAGGCTAATTACAGTAGTAATTACAGCATAATTACAGGCTAATTATAATGACTTGGCGAGGTAGTGATTGAGGGGCAGTCAGGATGAAAACCCCACGTTTAGGTGTTTTCCATGGAGCCACCCTCTCTCTCTAACAGTAACTGTCATTTATATTGGTCTTTACAATCTGAAAGCACTTTGTACCTATGATCTCATTTGGGCCTCACGATAACCTTTTGATGTAGGCATTGCAGGCATTCTGCTTTGCCTTTTATAGATGAGGAAGGAAGGCAGTGTGCAGTAGTGTGTAGACAGCTGGCCTTGGAGTCAGGAAGATTTGGGTTCAAGTACTGCCTCTGACACTTAGTGGCTGTGAGGCCCTGGTGGGTCACTGAACCTCAGCTGCTGTCAGACAAATTATTGAAGGGATGCCGGTTGGCAGTGTGAGAAGTGTCCGGATTGGGTGTTCTCTCTACTGATGCAATCACAATTCTGGACCAAAACTCTCTCTACCATCTCTTTTCAATAAGGGGTCTGACTATCTGTTTCGGAGCAATGCATGCAGTCCACATCAGATCCAGCCCTCAAGAGACTAACTGCCCAAAGGCAGTGGTGGCACCCCCCCCCCCCACCCCGTTCTGGGGAAGAATTCTGTGAAGCTTAGATTTTAGCTGCAGTGCTGCTCTCTCCACAGCACTGAGGAGAAAGATAGAGTACAGTGTAAATCAGGCAGAACATGGATATTTATTCCAAACAAAGGAATTTCTGGACATAAAGACCCACATAAGTGTACACTGACGTTAGGAAGCTTAGCTCAATGTCAGTAATGGTGCACTTAGGCTCTCCTGGCAAGCTGAGATTTAGACATTGGAACACCAAGCAGTTTTTTATGTTTTAACCCCCCTCCCCTCCCCCCTGCACTGTTCCTCTCAAGGTAGGTGTGTTCTGGATAGCCAGGCCAGGCCA